AAGTTTGACCATAGGATGTCCCATTTTCACATTATGACTCCAATCTGGCAACTATTTAGATACCTGTTCAATTTTACTATCATGAGTAGTCTTGTATTATAACTTGTATTTATATATATTAAAAAAAAAAGGTGTATTACATTTAGAAATGAGAGAAAGGTATGGCTCAGCATTAAAATTTTACACCAAGTTAGGAAAAACAATCATTCTTTGCTCTTACTAATGGATTATCCTGATTTTCTCAGGACTGTAGAAATTAAGTAACAATGAATTAATTATTACAGGCTACATTTTACCACCATACATGCTTGTCACTGAAAAGTGACTCAAGAGGTCTGTTTTGGGCTGAAACACTTAGATGATGACATTTGAGTTTGTTCCAAACTGCCAAATATTCTTAACTCCAGATCACAGATCAGTAAGATTATCCTGTTTCAGACTGAGGAATGCCAAAAGGAGGTGTAATCAAGCTAAAGTGGCATTCTTCATGCATCATGCCACTGATTCAGTTACCATCATTTGAAAACAGTTTAACTGAAGGCCATTTCACACCTTAGCTGGAATTATTCATTCACCTGGCTAATGGTAATAGGTAGGCTGCTTCTGTTTGTAAAAATATATATCAAAATGTAAATATTCCAGTTCAAAAACCTACAACCAATTCGTCACCATTTGAGATCCTGGATAATCCCATAATTAATTCTATTTCATAAAAAGATAGATATGTCACAAACTTGTGCTACATATTCCAGTTCCTATAGGTCATGCTATTCAAAAAGAAATTGTACGCATGGCCTTATGCATGCACTTGAATCTCCAAAGAAAAAAGCAACATCCAGCATGAACAAAGTCCGATTTCTATCTAATGAATAATTTGATGTCATCTTGGGAACTGGCCAGTGATAAGGATAACAAAAATGGGCACGTATTATACGTTGTGAATAGCATGTGCAAGTGAAAAGAACAAAAGTGGGTTGGGTTTTTTTTTCAAAAGTATCAGAAAGGGTTTTCCATATTCTGGCAAGTGACAGGCATGCTGGTCAAGTGGAAGAGTAACATCCATAATTTATTTGGCTGTGAAATATTAGAAGAGTAGAACTGATGTGGCAGAAAGTTTGCCAAAAAAAAACCCAGATATGCAACATGATTTTACTTCAACAAAACACATTTTACATACCGCAAAATGTTGCATTCCTTGATGCATGTTTTTTAAAAGATTCTCAATGACAACAAATATAACTTCTTGGAGAGTTGCAGACACAAGTTCATGGTCTTTCATATATTTGTGATACTGTTGGTTACATTTGGGGGAAACATCCAGAATCTTGGAGTAATTTCTCAGACAACCCATTGGGCATTTTGTCTTTCAGTAGAAATATAAATGGGATTCATAAAATGCTATCCCAAGACAGCAAGATGATTCTTAGAATTTTAGGTCACAAAAACATTATGTAGCCTGTTGTGTCTTTGGCAGCCAGAATGCACAAAATAATTTAAGTATTGTCCCAGATAAGGTCCCAGTTATTGGTTAAACACTGACCACATGTTATGGAAAAACAGATGTGTAACCCCTCCTACAGATAGATCAAAACTGTTAGAATATACGTTTCTGATACTGAGGAATTTGCTAACAGTTGTTCTGTTTTACTCATGAACAGACACCCACTGAATATTGGGGTTTAAGTAAAGACAGTATTATTTTGCCCTAAAAACTATATGGTTCAGTATATACTGTATATACAAGTATCTTGCTTATTCTTTGATTTCTATTGTCTATAAATGGATGTTTTATTTTATTTATATATTTATATATTTGTGTACATATTTATTGCCTGTCATAAGGACACTCCTCCTGATTTTAAGAATTTTAATATTTAAAGTCCACTACTGCAAAACGTATAAATTATTGCTTACCATGGCTAATATTCCCAAGTCTTAAACAACAGGCCAGAAAAACCTGACTGAAATTTCCTATATTAGAAAGACAGAAAATTTATCTAGTTTCAGCAAATGTCAAATCAGTGGCTATTGCTTTTAAGATTAATAAAAGATATAATGGTTTCTAGACAGCCTCTAAACAAAGATTACTGTGAATGGAGAAGTGATTTACCAATAGTTACCGCAATGAAATTTCTTTAAAGGTTACAATCATCAGTTATTTAGCTGAACACTGCTGAGAACGGCTGGTCATTTTTTGAATAATGCATAATGTTCATTGTAGACTTGATCTGTATTATAACAATACAGATATTTCTAAAATAATGGAGAAAACTATCTGTTACTTTCCAATTGCTTAACGTATCATTTCCATGAAGTAATTGACTCTGGAAATATTACACAGCAACACCTAAGTGTTCTTTTTGCAACCGCAACTTGGAATAATGTATACAAAATGAGCATAAGAAAACAAACTCATCAACCTTTACAGACTTTTAAGAAAAGCTGTGATGAATACAGGGCAGAGTAAAGGACCTTTCTGAAATACTAAATTAAAATGATTAAATTGCTGTACACAGTCGAGGACAAATTTAAAACTAAGCTTTGAAATTTAATTATTAACATGAACAGACCATCACATTTGAAGAGGGGGAAAAAGCAGTCGCCTACACAGTGTAAGTACTTCTCATATAATTTTCCAAACGCCTTTAGGGTCTATTCAAGAAATTGCTTGGGGACACACAAAGTACAATGTCTTGCGTTTTATTGTAGGATTATGAACCACACTTCATATGATGCTGCAGGCTATTTATGAGAGCTTGTTTATCCATATGAACTTCTTCAAGGGCAGCAGAAAAAGACCTTAATAAATGAAAATGAATTTCTTTTGATGCAATTTCACGAATGTTTGATCGGAATGCGTAACAGGTTTATGTTCAAGGAGAACTAGTGAAGTAATAAAATATACATGCAATGTACAGTTGAACCTGCTTATAATGAATTCACATATAATGAAACACTATTTACTAGTACAGTGAAGTAGAGTGAAAGCTCCACATTATTTCAAGGCACTGCAATGTGTAAAATAAAATCCTACTTAGTAACAGTGAACTTCCACTTAAAAAAAAAGGACTTCTTCTAAAATTGCAGCAGTAGAGCCTCCAATTGGGTGGAGACACAGCATTAAAATGTTTCATTCTGCTTTTTTGTAGGCAGAGGCGTGGGTGAACCTGAGCCAGAGTGCTTATATTTAAATATGTTCCTGTCTGACAGTGACCAGTGTTCAAATACATTTTTTTATTCCAAAACAGGACACTGAAAAAGGAGAGTGTATACTATGAAAACTTACACAAGATTTTTTAAACCATGACCCACAGACCTGAAGAAATCAGACATTCTGTACGACAGGAGAGCCTGTAATAGCATTGTATTCTGTATCACTGGAGAGAGAGCCTGTAACAGCATTGTATAGGGCTGCATGTGTTATTTCAACAGGTAGATTACAGATGCAACAGACAACAATAACCCACTTACTTTACATCACTACTGTAACAGCCTTACTGTATTTAGCAGCTATCCCAGTGCATGAGAACACATACTTTTCAGAATGAAAGGATATGAGAGTAACACTTGCATATTTTTGATATCACAAGCATGATGATAACTAGTCATATTCTTATACTTTGAATGATGCCATTTCCATTCTTTCAGGAAAAATATTACATGGCAGATGGTATAAATGGACATATATGAATAGGGACAAATACATGTATGATCCCTAGATCATTAGTCTGAAAGTCCGTTGTTTTTTGCCCTCCCTGTCTACCTCCTTCCAGTGTAAAATTATGACATTTTTCATCTAATATTCTTTCTTCTAGCAAGAAGGGCCACTGAAAGCTGCCTACATAGCCAATGCTAATATCAATATTAATATCAATACTAATAGTCAGCTGTCAAGTGCTGACCTACAAAGTCAGAGATTCCTATCTGTCCCTTAGAGGTGGCCACTTCTGATGCCTCCAACTACATACAGCCTTATACCATATAGTCCAGTCCAGTGTTTCAAGTGTATAACTAATGACAACAGATAGAAAATGAAGGGTTGATGATATCCTGCTCAATCTAGAATACGTCTCCTCTAAAACATAAAAATTAATAGCCAAAATAAAACAGAATGAAATTCAGTTCTGCCAAAGGCAGACCAGAGATCTAACAACCACGTTTTTAAAGGCTTTCAGTATTTCTAACTTCATTAAAAATTGTTACATTAATTATAACAGAAAGGGAGATCACACTTATCTGCCTGAGAAAAGGTAGGATTTAAAGATGACACTAAAAATGTCAGTCTTAAAAGATTATACACATCACCCGAAACACTGTACAAGACGGATTTACATATATGGGTTCTAAAGTAAGGCCAACAGCCCCTGGGCTTGGGTGCTCCAATGGGTACACAGGTCAGAAATACCCATTTTATTTATCTAACTGCTCATTTGAACACACAGTTTAGATGCTCACATTTGAAACTAGGTCCATTTTGGCTAAATTTCTAACTACATTAGCTTAGAGGTCAAAATATTTTATGAATAAATGGTAAGAAAATAAATGAAATTCAGGTCTTCATTTTGGTGACCGACAAAATTTGAAGTGCTTGAATTTACTATTAACCTGAATTCAGTTTTTAATATACCATACAATAAATGACCCCAAGCCAAGAAATGTTACCATGCTCCACCCAAAATCATCTTTTTGTACACTATGAAAATAAACAAAAACACAATAACTGCAAATCACTTTACAACAAATCATTTAATCTCCATCTCCCAGAAACCTGCTATCATAGTTATACTGACAGTTTGTTTTTAAATAAAATATAAATAGAATAAGAGGTTTATTTCACCTTCACATGGTGTCTTTCTCATGCAGACCTCAGATTTCCACATTTGTATCCCTTTAAAGGATTTGATATGCAGGGAAAGAAGAAAGGATGATGGTAAAAATTTCAATTTAGATATTACTACAGGCTGCCACAATCCATACTAAACAATATTCTATTTTCATACCTTTTACTGATGTGTTGGGTGGAGGTCCTTCCATTCTCAAGTTCCACGGAGGATCCCCCTGATTAGCAAAGTCCCTCATTTTCAGATAGCTAATTGTAAGTCGGATGATGGATGCCTTGTCAAGCTGACTTGTAATGGCTGCAGGGAGCGGCAACAACTTTGCCAACTCATAGAATTCAAAATTTTCCTTTCCCCGGCGAGAGCGAGCAGCATCTCGGGACTTTTCCTTTCGCAAGGCTTGTAAACTGAAACAAAAACAACAAAGGCGGACATTCATCAGTATTAGTGTTCTGTCACATTTAACCCACTTGCTTTCATTGATGGGTTCCTATACAAATTACCAACATTTTCCAAATGCTGACATGTATAGATATGCAATTTTCAGGATATACTTCAACAATACTATGCTCTTTCAATATTTGAATACTAATGATGGTATTTTCCTTTCAGTAGTAGCAAACAAGTTAAGTAACCATTCTTAATTCAGTTCTGTCATCCTCTAAGCCTGACCGCCCTGACCACCAACCAGTCTCACCCATTCACAGGGCAGATGGATTTGCCAGGGGTTTCCCTGGATGGATTAAAAGGGCTCCTTAACCATCGTGACCAATCAGAGCCCAGCTTTGTGTCACGCTCTACCAAAGGTCATACCTCTGACTCTAAGAGTCCCTCTTATTAAGCCTCATTATGAGAAGCTGGGGGAAGAGCAAAGAGCCACTCACATTCTCCTCTCACCATCCACGTGCTTTGGGAGATGTCTTATCCAAACAGTTGTCCCTTATCCTTGGGATATTTGTATTGCCATTTAATTGTTTACTGTATGTTATTGTTATGTTGACTAGCCATTGCATTTTCTTTCTGTTCAGATCAAGCTAGAATCCTATTTGGGTTTCCACTAGCTCAAGCTTGTTATGTTGCAACGTTGGTGGGGACATGGTCTTTGCAGAAGGTAAATTTATTCAGCAGCTCTGGCTGGCACAGTAGGAAAGTAGGAGTAACTATTTCCCATAAATGTGGGATTCAATGTAGAGGCAGTGAAAGAACAACGTGAATGGGTGTGTGTGGAGGAATAGAAGGTGGAGAGATCACCCTGGCTTCTGCTCTCCAGCCCAATCATGGGCACTGGGGTGGCCGCTCCTGCATCTCCGGGTCCTGCTCTTGCCTCTGCCCCCCATATGAATATACAGTTACTGCCTCCCGATTGGTGTAGGTGTGCCCTGTCCCCACCCACTGCTGGGGAAGTGGTTGCCCAGAACCTGATTAGCTCTCAACTCCCAAACAATCAGCCAATGGGGAGGCAGTAACTGGAACTGGGTGGCATAAGGTCGTGTCAGAGGGGAAGTGCAGCTGAGCTGGGACTGAAGCATGGATACGGAGGCAGAAACAAAGTTCAGTCCCCACAATGTTTACTTTGCACCCCTCTGCCCCACTCGTTCCACTGCCCCTGGTTCAATATGCAGCTCTGACCAAGAGACCCACTGGGAGAAACTGCCTGGAGTCTCTCAGTAGGGGCTCTAACCATCTCTATGGAGGTGGAGCATGGCTTGTGGTACATGCCTGGGTAAGCCGGATAGTATTTCTGCACAAGTACCCAGAATTTGGTTTTGACCTTGGTGTCTGCCATTCAGTACCACGTGTGGCTTATGTGTGGGCTGAGCAGTTACAACTACCCTTTGCTGGAAAGACTATGTTCATTGCCTTCCTTCATTTGTTTACATTCTTGTTTGTTTAATAATGATATGGCCATTTCCTTCTATTTCCAAACTAATTTGAATCTTTGAGAAGATTACTGGCCAATGGATGGGATTGAGGGGAAGCTGCAGAGGTGATATATCTTGATTTAAGTAAGGTTTTTACCACAGCTCCACATCACATTCTCATAAGTAAACAAGGGAAATGTGGTGTAAATGTAATTACTATAAGGTGGGTTCATAACCACTTAAACACTGTACACAAAGAGTAGTTACTGTCAAACTAGAAGGACACACATATTGGGGAACCGCAAGGACCTGTCATGGGTCCAGTATTATTTATACCATTTTCATTAATGACTTTGAAAGTGGAATGGAGAATATGCTTATAAAATCTGTGGAACTGGAAGGAGTTGCAAGCACTTTGAAGGACAGGATTAGAATTCAAAATTGATAAATTGGAGAATTGGTCTGAAATCAAAAAGATGAAATTCAATAAAGACAAGTGCATAGTACTTCACTTAGGAAAGCAAATTCAGCTGCACAAATACAAAATGGGAAATAACTGGCTAGGTGGTCATACTGCTGAAAAGGATCTGGGGGTTACAGTGGATCACAAATTGAATATGAGGTCAACAATGTGATGCAGTTGCAACAAAGGTTAATATTTGGAGGTGTATTACAGGAGCATTATATGTAAGATACAGGAGGTAATTGTCCCACTGTGCTTCATACTGGTGAGGCCTCAGCAGGAGTACTGTGTCCAATTCTGGGCGCCACACTTTAGGAAACATGGACAAATAGGAGAGAGTCCAGAGGAGAGCAACAGATATAATAAAAGATTTAGAAAACCTAACCTATGAGGAAAGGTTAAAAAAACTGTCCATGTTTAGTCTTGAGAAAAGAAGACTGAGGGAGGTCCTGATAATCTTCAAATATACTAACAGTTGTTATAAAGAGGACAATGATCAATTGTTCTCCATGTCCATTGAAGCATGGACAAGAAGTAATTGGCTCAATCTGCAGCAAAGGAGATTTAGGCTCAGTATTAGGAACAACTTTCTAAACTGGATAGTTAAATACTTGAATATACTCCCAAAGGTGTTTGTTGAATCCCCATAATTGAACATTTTTGAGAACAGGTTACACAAATAGCTGCCAGGATGGCCTAGATATACATGGTCTTGCTTCAGCACGGCATATGGGATGTACCACCATTCATTTCTCAGTCAAGAAGGAACTATGCCCAACTAGCTTAACAGAGGCCATGGGCATACTCAAGCCCCAAGCCAAGCTTGAGCAGTCCAATAGAGCTGAGAGCATGCTCAGTTCTATTTTCAACAGCTGCACAACCTACTGTGAGTAGTGTCTAGTTTTGGTGAATCACATAGATGGGGCTTATTTTGTGGGTGGAGCTGAAGAGTACCACTACCCCTCTTACCCAATGTTACCCCTGGCTTTTTTGGTGAAACCCCTGAAAAATTGGTCAGATCCAGTTGCTTTACCCTGCTAAGGCACCACGATGCAGACAGAAAGCTGAGGCTTTACTCTGATGTAGAGGAATCCTCAAGGGACATAAAGGTTCTGGTTACTCATTTTTTCACTTCATATAGGGGAGGAGGAGAGGTGAGGCTGGACCACGCAATACTCCAGGGGATACACTGAAGTGCTCCACCCTATGGAACTGCTCAATTTGGCACAAATTAGAACAATCCTTAAACTCCAAATTACACTGAGAGCCATTACAGGTTCCAGCAACTCCAGAATTAGAGGAGCAGAAGAGTAATTGCCTGAAGTGCACTAAAAATAGTGGCCTGCTAAACCCAAGGTTCTGAGTTCAATCCTTGAAGGGGCCACTTAGGGATCTGGGGCAAAAATCAGTACTTGGTCCTGCTAGTGAAGACAGGGGGCTGGACTCAATGACCTTCCAGGGTCCCTTCCAGTTCTATGAGATAGGTATCTCTCTCTATATATATATATTTTATAACTTGATATCAGAGGCACCATATCCCACATGTTAGAATACACAGAGGCTCTTGAAGAAAAAAGGGGAGGTACCCAACTGCTAGCCCTAGTTGATTCTGAAAAATTATGTCACAAACTATCATGTTATGTCTACAAGAGCAAAGCTATTCTGGGTAATTTTAAGGTTTCTAAGATGTATTATTTATAATCTTCCTTTCCTTTTCTAGCCTGTACAGCAGGACTAATGGTGAGTTTGGTTTTACAGTTGGAGGAATATAATAGATCATCTTTAAAATGTTATTCAGGTACTATGTACATTTCTAAAGTAGAAATTCCATAAAACATGGCAGATGCAGAATACATGATGGTGTGTTGTGGTATCAAAGTTTTATTGACACTCATTTGGGATAACCTGCATAACTCACTCATGACTTCAATATTCTTCTGCTCATTCCAGTCTTACACTGATACACCCTTTCTACCACACCCAACATGTATTCTATGTATCTTTAACTTTTATAGTCTGCAAAAATGAAGAGCTTCACACTCAGTGATTATGCAGACTACCATGGCATTTTTTTTAAAAAGGTTACAAAATAAACATATATGCTGACCGACATTAATAATTCCTTAGATTATTGATGGTCTGTTTATTTTCTGCATTTGTCTCTGTTTTGACAAGATAATCAATTAAGTAAGTTTCAGTTTCAATTTTTAGCGCTGCAAGTCTGTGTTTCAAACAGAATCGGTGAATGTTTATATTTACACACAACTGCTCCTATTTGTATTTTGAAAATACAATCTTGGAGCCATTGTTATTTGTCTCTGGTTTCATATGGGTGTGCTTGTTTGGGTTTTTTTTTAATTTGGACACATTTTTACATTGTCCCTTTAAACCCAATTCTCAATACAATTCAAGAATCCCCTCAGTGAGATTCTTTTGAAATGTCAGTTTTCACAACTCTGACCCTGCATAATTACACCAGCACTACAGGTCCCATAGTCTTTTAAAGTGACAGCACTGAATTTGTAATAAATAGTGATTGGTTTGGAGGGCTACAGCAATAAAATAAAGCTCTAGGGACAGAAAGGTTGTTGAAACTATGATCTAATGGCTGAAGCCAATGGCAATGACACTGTGTGTACTTTAGTTTATTGCCCATTTTCATTAACTAGTACCAAAAAATGTAGCAAATTCTCACAAGGTGTGCAAATTAGTTTTTGTAATGCTACTGAAATCCTGCATTTTCACCGGTGGTGCTGGAATATTTAATAGTGGGGGAGCTGAAAGTAAATTTTACTTTTTACCTCATGCCCCCCCCATGTCCCCTCATGCCCCTGTCCGCACCCCCTCCATCCCCCAGAGCTGGGGCCAGGAGCAGGGTCGTGTCTCCGGGAGGGGGCTGACCCAGGCAGGGGTAAGGGGGCTGAGGCCGGGGCCACAGCTGGGGGCAGGCATGGGGCCAGGAGCAGAGTCCCGGGCACGGGGCCGGCAGCCAGGACCTCACATGCGGAGCCAGGAGCAGACCTCAGCTGCAGGGGCCGGCGGCCAGGACCCTGGGAGCAGAACCATGGGATCCGGGATCCAG